ATAAGCTTGACAATAACTTGAGAGACAAGTTATCGCTTATCCTAATGAGTTTAGGATTAGAAGAAAAGGGAAATATTCTAATATGTTAAACCTAATGAGTTTAGGAAAGTTTGAGCTATATATAAGGAGATGCAAAGTGTGTTGCATAACTTATGAGTTGTGAGATTGAGAGCTTTAGTTTTTGAGTTAAGTNTCTAATATGTTAAACCTAATGAGTTTAGGAAAGTTTGAGCTATATATAAGGAGATGCAAAGTGTGTTGCATAACTTATGAGTTGTGAGATTGAGAGCTTTAGTTTTTGAGTTAAGTTTTCTAAAGCAATAAAGAGTTCTTGAGTTTGATATAATTGAGTTCTTGATCGTTGAGTACGATCATACTTTTGGTTTCAATAATTGGTATCAGAGCGTGATTGAAATCAAAAGTTATGGGAGAGATAGTTGCAGTAAGCAAAGCGAAGGATAGTATTCCGACAACGATACAATGTCCAATGCTTACCTCTGTAAACTACACAGTGTGGAACATGAGGATGAAGGCAGCGCTTCAGGTGCACAAGGCATGGGAGGCGATTGATCCACGAGAAGAAGCCAAATCTGATAAAAACGTCTTGGCGCGAGCACTACTTTTCCAATCAATTCCAGAGACTCTGCTGTTGAACGTTGGCAATCTTGTTTCTGCAAAGGAAATATGGGAAGCGATTAAGACTAGACATGTGGGAGCTGATAGGGTGCGTGAAGCAAGGATACAAACTCTTATGGATGAGTTTAGTAGTCTTAAGATGAAAGACACAGAAACTATAGATGAGTTCTCAGGAAAAATTTCAGAGGTTTCCTCAAAATCAAGAGCCCTAGGTAAGGAGATCAACGAGCCAAAACTTGTGAAGAAGTTCCTAAGCAGCCTTCCAAAGAAGAAATACATCAACATTATTGCTGCAATAGAACAATTTACAGACTTAAACACAATTAGTTTTGAGGAGATTGTTGGGAGACTAAAGGCTTATGAAGAGAGAATTAAGATAGATGAACAACAAGAGGAACAAGGGAAACTCATGTATGCCAACATGGATTCTCAGAGTCAACAAGAAGGATATGGCAGAGGAAGAGGACGTTTTAATAACAGAGGAAGAGGCCGAGGTCGCAATAATAGTCGTGGTGACTGGAAACAAGGGAGAGATACATCTCGTGTGGTGTGTTTTAGGTGTGATAAGACTGGACACTATGCATATAATTGTCCTGATCGCTTGCTTAAGCTCCAAGAGACACAAGAAACTGAGAATGACAGTACACACGAAGCAGAAGAGTTGATGGTGCACGAGATTGTCTTTCTTAATGAGAAGAATGTCTTGCCAAGCAAGTTTGAGGAAGCAGAACAACAAGTTTATGATAATATATGGTATCTAGACAATGGTGCGAGTAATCATATGTCAGGAAACCGTGAGTTCTTTTGCAAAATTGATGAAACAATCACAGGAAAAGTAAGGTTTGGAGATGACTCACGGATAGATATTAAAGGCAAAGGTTCAATCCTTTTCATCACAAGGGATGGCAAGAGAAAGATCTTGACAGATGTATACTTTATTCCTGATCTTAGGAGTAATATCATCAGTCTTGGTCAAGCCACATAATCTGGCTGTGACATCAGGATGAGAGATAATTATTTAAACTTGTTCGACAAGGATGGGAACCTGCTAGTGAGATCATTAAGGTCGAAGAACAGACTATACAAGGTGACGATGGATGTTGAGAGTGCAAGGTGCCTACAACTTAATGGAGTTAGTGATTCAGCACTATGGCATGCACGGTTTGGACATGCTAATATAGACACTATGAAGATGATGCTAAATAAAGAGATGATCAGTGGCATGCCTAATATAACTTTAGAGAAAGCAACATGTACTTCTTGTCTTATGGGTAAACAAACAAGAGAAGCATTCCCAAAGGCAAGTACATATCGTGCATCACAGAAGCTAGAGCTAGTTCATGGTGATTTGTGTGGGCCAATCACACCGCCAACTGCAGGGAAAAATAGGTATATATTCGTCTTGATTGACGATTACTCGCGGTACATGTGGTCTATCTTACTAAAGGATAAAAGTGAAGCGTTTGAGAGATTCAAGAAATTCAAGCGACTAGTTGAGCAAGAATCAGGAGTAGAGATCAAGACGTTGAGGACAGACAGAGGTGGTGAGTTTACCTCTCAAGAGTTTGAAGATTTCTGCAATACTCATGGCATAAAACAACATCTTACAGCACCATACTCTCCACAGCAGAATGGAGTTGTTGAGAGGCGAAACAGAACCCTGATGGAGATGGTAAGAAGTATCATGAAACATGCAAAAGTTCCAAACTACTTATGGGGAGAAGCGGTAAGACACTCAACGTATTTAATAAACAGAGTTGGGACGAGAACTCTGAAAATACAAACACCATATGAATGCTATAAAGAGAAGAAACCAGTTGTGAGTCATCTGCGCGTATTTGGCTGTGTTTGCTATGCAAAGAGTGAGGCAGCACATCTCAAGAAGCTCGATGATAGATCAAGAGAGTTGATCTACCTTGGAACAGAACCTGGAACTAAAGCTTATCGGTTGTATGATCCGAAGACTAAGAGGATAGTAGTTAGCAGAGATGTTGTTTTTGTGGAAGATAAAACTTGGAATTGGAACATAGCAGGGAGAGAATCGTGTGTAGACACAGAAGAGATTAAATTCTCATTCCCTGCAGATGAGTTAGACGCAACTCAAGAGGAGGAAGCACAGGAAGAAGATGCAGCTAGTGATGCTGAAAGTGATCACAGTGATCACAGTGAGATCAACGAGGCTGAGAACTCAGAAGTAGAACCTCAAAACCTAAGACGATCTATGAGGGAAAGAGTAAGACCAAGCTACTTAGATGATTATGTTCTAGTGGCTGAGATACAAGAGATAGAGAGGATGCTATTTTTGATGAATGAGGAGCCATGGGATTGGAACGAAGCCAAACATGATAAGGTCTGGAGGGAAGCATGCGAAGATGAGATAGCATCAATCAAGAAAAACAAGACGTGGACACTTGTAGATCTTCCCATTGGATGCAAAGCAATAGGATTAAAGTGGGTGTTCAAGATCAAGCGTAATGCAGATGGTAGTATTAAGAAGTTTAAAGCTAGACTTGTTGCAAAGGGTTATGTACAAAGACATGGCATAGACTTTGAGGAAGTCTTTGCACCTGTTGCAAGAATCGAAACCGTGAGGATTATCATTGCGTTAGCTGCTTCCAGTGGTTGGGAAATACATCATTTAGATGTAAAAACAGCGTTCCTACATGGGGATTTGGATGAAGAGGTTTATGTGTCACAACCTGATGGTTTTAAGGTCAGAGGTGGTGAAGATAAGGTATACAGATTGCATAAAGCTCTCTACGGATTGAGACAAGCACCAAGAGCATGGAACATTAAGCTTAAATCAATCCTTAAAGAGCTTAACTTCGGCAAGTGTTCTAAGGAGCCATCGCTATTTAAAAGAGAAACAAGAGGTAATATCCTTTTGGTTGCGGTTTATGTAGATGACTTGTTAGTTACAGGCTCAAGTCTAGATATCATACAAGAGTTTAAGGAAGACATGGCGAGCAAATTTGAGATGAGTGACCTTGGGCAACTTACCTACTATCTTGGAATTGAAGTAGTTCAAACTAGAGAAGGTATACTATTGAAACAAGAGAGATATGCTATGAAGATACTAGAGGAGGCAAGTATGAGCGAGTGTAATGCCACCCACATACCAATGGAGCCGGGGCTTAAGTTATCTAAGGCTACAGAGGAGGAAGGTATCAGCGAGAAGGAGTATAGGAGAAACATTGGATGTCCTAGATATCTCATTCATACTAGACCAGATTTAGCCTATTCTGTTGGTGTGCTTAGCCGGTACATGCATGAGCCAAAGGTATCACATGGAGCAGCTTTGAAGCAGGTGATAAGATACTTAAAGGGTAGTTGTGCGCTTGGTCTGCTTTTTAAACGAGACAACAAGAAAGGACTTGTGGGGTACTGCGACAGCAGCTACAATGTGGATCCAGACGACGGAAAGAGCACATCAGGACACATATTTTATTTCAATGAATGTCCGGTTTCTTGGTGTTCTACAAAGCAAGAGATCGTGGCTCTGTCTTCTTGTGAGGCCGAGTTCATGGCTGCAACAGAGGCAGCAAAACAAGCTTTGTGGTTGCAGGAACTTCTTGGAGAGATCATAAGTGATAAAACAGAGAAGACTATGATTCGCATTGATAATAAGTCAGCAATTGCATTAGCCAAGAACCCGGTCTTTCATGGAAGAAGTAAACATATACACAAGAGATTTCATTTCATAAGAGAGTGTGTAGAAGATGGACTTGTGGACGTGGAGCATGTAGCTGGTACGGAACAGAAGGCTGATATCCTAACCAAAGCATTGGGAAAAACCAAGTTTAAAGAGATGAGGGAATACATTGGAGTTCAAGAGGTAAAGAATGAAGATGTCAAGCTTAAGAGGGAGAATGTTGGCATAAGCTTGACAATAACTTGAGAGACAAGTTATCGCTTATCCTAATGAGTTTAGGATTAGAAGAAAAGGGAAATATTCTAATATGTTAAACCTAATGAGTTTAGGAAAGTTTGAGCTATATATAAGGAGATGCAAAGTGTGTTGCATAACTTATGAGTTGTGAGATTGAGAGCTTTAGTTTTTGAGTTAAGT